AATGGCATACAGAAGATGTTAATCAAAAGACGTGAACAAAATTTATCAGCTGATTATTTATATAAAAAAGATACAAAATTAATTAATTTTGATGATTTTATTAATAAAGAACTTGTTCTTTTTTCGAAAACAAGTACTCAACATGCAATTTCAAGTATTATGGTAAATAAATAAAAATAAAAATCTCTTCTGCTTTTTTTGCTTGAAGTTTTATCTTTAAAGGATGGTTTTAAACCTGGTCTATGTAAAATAATGTTTATTTGTTTTAGAAAAAATTTAATCCGTAATGTAAAAGTTGATGAAAATCCTGCTTATCATCCTGGTGAACAATCATTGATAAATGCAATCGTTGATCCTGCACAAAATTTTGTTAGTTTAAATAATATTAATTTTTTTGTACCAGCTGGTCAATTTGGTACATGTTTACATGGTGGTAATGGTGCTGCTTCAACACGTTATATTTTTACTCGACTTTGGTAAAAATAAAAGAAATTCATTTGTTTGTTTGTTTGTTTAATTTATTTTGTCTTTAGTCCACTTGCTTTATCATTATTTAACAACGATGAACTATTATTAACATATTTAAATGAAGATGGTATGAGTATTGAATCTGAATGATATTGTTCAGTTATTCTAATTGTTCTTGTTAATGATACACATGATGTTGATACTGATTATTGAATTGATATATCACCTTATAATTCACTAACATTACACTAACTATTCTTGATTATAAAGAATATCATACAGATACAACAGTTCGTTTTGTTGTCAAATTATCATAAGCACAATTTGCTAAACTCAATGAATCAGGTCTACATAAAACTTTCATTTATGACAAACATTTAAATTAACAAATATGGTTCTTTTTGATAATAATAATATCTTATGTCGCTACTTTTCAGATCTGTGAAACAGGTAAAAAACAAGTTTGTTATAATTATGGCTACGGCTATGGCTTTGGTTGCACCACCAACAGATCGTTATTTGTGTTTGTCAGCAATGATTTATTTTTATGATCGATTAAAACGCAATGATAATGACTTGTTGATCATTGCTTCTCATTATGCATTTTTGGCACAAGGTTTTATTATCAATGAAGCACCAATTGGAGTAAAAATTCTTTGTATTTTTTTATTTTTATATTGAACATTATAGGCAGAAGAAGTATTGGTTTTTGATCATGGCAATACTAGTCGGTATGACATCGTCGTATATGTTAAAGATACAATGGTTATTGAAACAACACATTCAACCGATAGAAAAGATTATTATTTAACATTAAACGTAATTAATGTTTCAGGTATTGAAATGTCTCTGTAAAAAAATTTTTAATTTAGATTAGTAATAAAACTTATAATGATTTTGTGCATATAGCCACCTATTTAAATCAAGGGTAATATAAATAATTTATTGTTAATGAATCTTTTTACAAATACGTGTTGTAGGAGGTTGTTTAATGCAAATGCTTTAGTTAGTCACGTAATGGGTTTTATCAAACGTTCAATGGAGAATCATAAA